TGCTGACAATGAGTTAATTTCTTTACCTGCAGAGCAGTATAACAGGTAGAAAGGCACTAATAGTGACTGCTTAGATGCAACAAAAACCTGCCAGCTGCAACAGTACCTTACAATTATTATTATACAGGATTTATATAGCGCCAACAGTTTGCTCAGCGCTTTACAATATAATGGGAGACAATACAGCAACAATACAGTTCAATACACGAGGGAAAGGAGGGCCCTGCTCCTTGGAGCTTACAATCTAGAAGGGGGGGGCTAGTGGTACAAAAGGTAGTAACTCTGGGGGATGGACTGGTTGGAAGAGTAGAAGATTCCATTATTAGCTGAGGGCAGGATAGGCTTCCCTGAAGAGAGAGGTTTTCAGAGATCGCCTAAAAGTGAGCAGAGTAGGCGATAGTCTGATAAATTGGGGTAGAGAGTTCCAGAGGATGGGGGAAGCTCTGGAGAAGTCCTGGAGACAAGCATGGGAGGAGGAGACAAGGGAGCTAGAGAGTAGGAGGTCTTGCGAGGAGCGGAGAGTACGGTTTGGGTCATATTTAGAGACAAGATTGGTGATGTAATTTGGGGCAGAGTTATAAATGGCTTTATACGTTATTATTAATGTTTTGAATTTTATCCGTTGGGCAATGGGAAGCCAGTGGAGGGATTGGCAGAGAGGGGTGGCAGATACAGAACGGTTAGTAAGGTGGATGAGTCTGGCAGCAGCATTCATGATAGACTGAAGAGGGGATAGCCTGCGATTAGGTAGGCCAATGAGGAGGGAGTTGCAATAGTCAAGGTGAGATATAACAAGGGAGTGAATAAGTTGCTTAGTGGTTTCCAAGGTTAGGAACGGGCGTATCTTGGAGATGTTGTGGAGGTGAAGTCTACAAGATTTGGACAGTGATTGGATTTGGGGCTGAAAGGACAGGTGGGAGTCTAGGATTACACCTAGTACCCTGGCATGAGGGGAGGGACTGATGATTGTGTTATTGATCTTGATGGAGAAGTCAGGGGAGGGGGCATGGGCTGGGGGGAATACTATGAGCTCAGTTTTGGAAAGATTGAGTTTGAGGAAGTGGAGTGACATCCATGCTGATATGTCACTTAGTAGGTTAGTAATGCGAGAGGAGACTGAAGGGGTGAGGTGAGGGGTAGAAAGATAGATTTGTGTGTCATCAGCATAGAGATGGTACTTAAAGCCATGGGAGTTTATCAAATGACCAAGGGAGGAGGTGTAGATGGAGAAGAGAAGGGGTCCAAGGACAGAAACTTGAGGGACCCCTACGGAAAGAGGGAGTGAAGAGGAGGAGGCAGCTTTATAGGTAACGCTAAAGGAGTGCTGCGATAGGTAGGAGGAGAACCAGGAGAGAGCAGAGTGTCTGAGACCAAGAGAGTGGAGTTTTTTGAGGAGGAGGGGATGGTCAACCGTATCAAACGCCACAGAGAGGTCAAGTAGTAAGAGTACGGAGTAGTGGCCATTGGTTTTAGCTGTTAGTAGATCATTAGTGAGTTTTAGTAGGGCAGTTTCAGTGAGCGAAAGCCAGACTGTAAAGGGTCAAGAAGGTTGTTGTCAGTGAGGTAGGAGCTCAGGCGATTGTAGACTAAGCGTTCTAGGAGCTTAGAGGAAAATGGCAGCAGGGAGATGGGTCTTAAGTTGTTCATGTTGGGGGGGTCCAGGGAGGACTTTTTAAGTATGGGAGTGATGTGTGCATGCTTTAGAGGGGAGGGGAAGGCACCATTAGAGAGGGAAAGATTGAGGATGTGAGTGAGGGAGCATAGGATGGAAGAAGAGGGTGACCATAGTAGTTGTGAGGGGACAGGATCCAGGGGGTAGGTAGTAAGATGGGCTTCTGAGAAAACCTTAGTGACCTCTTCGGTAGTAGCAAGGTCAAAAGAGGCAAGTGTTGTTGGGAGGTTTAGTATAAGGTTTGCTAAGTGGATGGATGTCTGTGCAGTGGCGAAGCCCCTACAAATTGCGTCAATCTTGTTTTTTAAATGATTTGCAATCTCATGAGCAGTGAGTGAGGTACTGGGTGGAGGTGACGGTGGAGAAAGTAGAAAGTTAAAAGTAGAGAAGAGACAACGAGGACTAGATGACAAGGTATTAATAAGAGTGACAAAGTAAGCTTGTTTGGCAGCATGAAGGGAGGAATTGTATGTTAAGAAAGCAGATTTATATAGGGTGAATGCTTGTTGAGATTTGGTTTTACGCCACAATCGCTCCAGCGCACGACTATGTTGTTTAATATTTCTGGTGTCGTCAGTCTGCCAAGGTTGTAATGGTCGGGGCCTGATACTTCGTGTTGTTAGAGGAATAAGTGAGTCTAACATGGATGAAAGCGAACTGTTGTAGACAGCAGTGGCCAGGTCAGGGCAGGACAGGGGAGAGATTCGGTTGTAGAGTTGGTCAGTTGCAGAGTGAAAGGGAGCAGGGTTCAAGTTGTGAAGGTAATTGTTTGCTGCTTGGAGGGATAGGTGTACAATATACAAATCAGTTCCCTGCAGCTAAAAGTGAACAAAACAAGGCTCACTTTTGGATGGAATTACACTGAGTATATTGGTTACGTGTCCAAAATTTATAGAACAAGGGCATTGTCTAAGGCAGGGTTAATGTCCTGTTGCAAGCCTATAGATCTAAAGAATATTATTTTTGCTTCCAAATATTGCTTTACAAAGAATTTTATTATAGAATGGATAGGAGCAGAGAAACAGTCAAAACAGATGCATTGATCAACAGGAATAAAACATACAGGGTATTCGACGAATATTACAGAATATGTACTGATGGAGAGACACAGAAATAAACTGCATACTTAAGTGCCGGGTACAGAAAAAAGAGAACACAAAAAAAAAGGGAAAAAACAATAAGTTGCAAAAATGGTAAAAAACAAAAACAAAACAAAAAGGGCTCCAGGGGGATCGCAAAAAAAAAAAAAATTAAATAAAATAAACTAATAGGTACATTTTATATCGACAAAAGGGACTAGTCGAATCTCGATGGTTGGGCTATATCAAGCCAGGGACGCCATGTCTGCAGGAAGTTTGTTTGTGGGTGTCTAGCAGTATAGCCGTCAGTTTTTCGTTAACCATTATGAAGTTCATCCGGTTTTTGACAGCCTCATAGCTGAGGAGAGGAGTCTTCCAAGCCCTCGCAATCGTCAGCTTGGTAGCCATAAACAGGTGTGATGCCAGCTGCCATTTGGGACGAAGTAGGCCCACTAATGGTTTAAATAAAAGCGCTTCATATGGGTTGCTTTCTTCCAAATATTGTATTCAAAAACAGGTTGATGAAAAGGCTGAAGTCCATTTGCAATTTTTGGTAATATTTTATTAACAAAAATACCTACAGTTTACAGCATCCATACAGAGTGCTAACGCGTTTCAGCCAAGGTCTTTGTTATAACTATAACCAAGGCTGTAGCTGAAATGCGTGAACACTCTGCTTTTTGGCTAGATGCTCTAAACAGCTGGCATTTTTATTAATATAATATTATCAAGGATTGTTAATGGACTTCAGCTTTTCATCAATGTTATGCTTTGTAGTTATGCAGGCAACTGGCTGTGCCTGAATCATAATCTAGTACAAAGGTAGAGTCACTCTTTGTCGATGTTTAGCATTCAAAAGCAGGGTCTGTATAGGAGAAGAGGCATTCAGGTTTTCTGTGGAAAGAGTGGACTTGGCTGGTAAAGGTCTCCTGCACAGTCCAATTATTGTTAGAGATGCTCCCATGTGCCATCTACTACGAGCCTTACCTGCATCAGAAAGCTGAATAGTGTGAGCTGCATTCATCCTCACAGGGCTGCAGTTAGGGAGGTGCAGAAGGGCAGTTGACTAGGGAACAGACAAGACAAGGGGCATTTAAGGCCCCTTTCACACGGGTCCGTTTAGATCAACAGGGGACCTGTCCGACACTCAGAGCAAAGCGAGCAGAAGACAGGTCTGTGTCTGCTCAATTTCTGCAGACCAGACAAGGACAGAGCCCACTTTGCTTTATGGGAGGTCTGGGGTGAACAGATTCTGCTGTCGGTTTACAACCGACTACCCTCTGATCTGATCCACCTATATGGTAGGGGATGAGTCCCTTTCCATTTTTTTTTTTAGCCGATCGGATCGGATTGAAAGTAGGTGGGTGTAAATGGACACAAGTTTGTTTACACCATCCAGTCTATAGGGGTGAAGGGACGATCCGATCAGCCTCACCTGAAAAACTGACAGGTGAACTTGATCGAAGCCTTTGTGTGAAAGGGGCCTAAGGTAAATGAATGAGTTAAAAATGGTTAACTGAAAAAAAATGGTGACCGATTCAGTTTTACAGCAGCCAGTAAAATGACGGATAGACCTTTCATAAAATGGTTGAGAGGTCTGCACTTGTATTGCCACCCTCTGAAATAGAGCTCACTATTGGATTACTAATGTGACTAATTCACCTTATTAGTATAGCTTATCTTCTGTGGGGCCAGCTGTCTAAAAACAATGGCATTGCTGCGCTAGATATTTCTCGTGAGTTGTCATTACTAACCCGCGACCAGTGACAATTAATGTCACTTTGTACATGGGAATATGGGACCCACACGAGTTGTGAACAGCTGTGTAATGCTGTAGTTGTTTTCTATTAGAGTGGATCCCCACAGCTTGTTCAGCAGGGGACATTAACTGCCACTTGTTAAGAAGTTACAAACCATTAGGAAAAAAAATGGATATTACCATAATGATAACATGTAAACAAAAAATTGTAAAACTCCAAAGCACCTTTTAACAAATAAATGAAAGGGACAAAACCAACAAAAAAGTAACATTTTGATTTCTCTTTTTCTATAATCTGATTAATGCCAAAAATTATTTAAGTAAGGCATGTGCCACAACATGTTACGGTACATTATGGCGCGCTGTTACCATGGCCCATTCATTTTTCATGGGCCCAAAGGAGAAATCATTCATGCTCTAATTTTTTCATGCATTAGGATGTGTACTGTAGATGTGTTGGGTTGCCATTCACAATGACTGGTACTCCAAAGCCCCATAACATAATTGATGTATTAGTGTGTTGTGGTAAGCTGTCAGGAACCTTAGGCCAGCTGTGCTAATTTTCGTGAGCATAGATGTATAACGAGCAGGGGCGGACTGACCATTTGGAAACTCGGGCACTGCCCGAGGGCCCGGGGGTCAGTAGGGGGCCCCATGAGATGCCCTGGTACCTTTATCATAGGCTTTTTTGAGTTTAGGCAAGGACACAGGGGCCCCATGATCCCCTATTGCCCGGGGGTTCCATGAGTTGTCAGTCCGCCCCTGATAACGAGTTGGCAGAATGAAAATGCGCACGCTCACACACAGGTACACGGTGCGAACGTGCATGCATGGACATGCCTACAGCTTTTGGCTACTGGAGGACGATTCATAGCCCTATAGTGGGCTGTTTACTATCATTGCTAGATGGTCTTCAGCTTTACCTTGTGACTTGTGTTCTTCAAAGCCTGCATGACCCAGTTACTGATCCAGCTCCAACCGACTCTTCTTTGGATTGCCCTTGCCTGCTCATGTCTGCTACTGATTAATGTTACTAATCCTGGCCTGGATGTTTGACTAAGATTTTGCTTGCTAAGTTTGTACCCAGTTGGCAGAACGTTACTGACCCCTGCCTGTCTTTGACCTGGACTATGATCATGATTCTGTACTTAGCGGAGTGGTTGTTACTGAATTCATCTTGTGACCTGACTCTTTGCTTCTGCTCATCTCACCTCAGCATCTCCAATCCAAGTCGCTGCACCAACTTCCTGGAACCTGCGCCCTTCCGCTGCCCTAGCAGTATCTAACTCTTTCACCAGGGGTGCTTGAACAAGAATTGCACAAGAAGCCACCCTCGTCATTTCGAGCTCCAGGAAAGGAGATGGCACAAGCGCATTTCACTGTGCTTTGCTGAAACATAGTGGTGTGTACATATTCCTAAGCTGGGTACACATGGTCCGAATATTGGCCAGTTCAGTAGGAACCGGCAGACATTAGGACCATGTGTACAGCTGTCCTTCCCACAGTAGTCGGTCTAAAGACTGTCTTTTGTCAAAGGCATATGCTGGAAAACCAGCATCTGAACAGCCATTAGCTGAGAGCACTGATTAGCGTGTTCCGAGTATTCTCCAGTCAGCCATTGCTCCTATGTGCCACAAGAGCAGCTTATAGCTTGACATGAAAGTACATGTCCTACATTGGCAGCCTGCCAAGCCATGCTGATAACTGAGAGCTGGAGACTGTAAAGAGACAGAGGTAGTCCATGCTCAAACAAAATAAACTTTCCCCATTTAACTATTTGTTAGCATTCTTACCCAAACACTTGCAGTTTACAACTTTCATTACTTCTGGCTTCTGTTTTCTCAGTGCTGCTTTCCTGATCGTTCAGTATTCACATTAAAGACAATGCAGTTTCCAGACCGTTTGTTAGCTTGGTGAATGGAGGGAGGAGAAAGAGGGAGGAGTAGGGAAGAGTCTTGCTACCCTAGGCTCTGTGTTTCTATTGATACATACAGTGTAGGGAGACTCAACTCTAGTCACTGCATGCAATGGATGAGTGCATAGGATGCTGCAAGAGAAAGAAGCCACATTGAAACAAGAAACCTGGGGCAGCAGTCATGGCACCAGCACAAACAGCAATTATTTAGATCCAGTATATTCCACATGTAGACTCAACGCGTTTTGATAGATCTTCTTCAGGAGTATATATGAACAATCAGCATGATAAAACCCATAATTCTCTATATTAAAATCATAGGTGTGTGCAGTCTCTCTACCATGAGGGGAGAAGGGCAAGAGGCTCTCAAAATAAAGGGTATACAGCAGGTGTCAAAGAGCCCTCAATGGTCATCCTTAATCCAAGTAGAAGGTCACAACAATCAAAATATAAACCGCCATCCATATATCAAACAAAAGAAAAATGGCTGGTAAATTATCAATATCCAATTGTCAAACCATTCCATATATCTGGAGGATGGACAGCCAAAAATTAGCAAAGGTCAGATGGACAGAGAATCATTTCCAGAATATCCTTTTCTTTACACCCACACTTCTAGCAGTCAGTATTTGAATACTGAGTACTTGAATAAATCTGCTGAATGTGCTTAAAAATTAAAAGTTTAATATCACTTTATGCAGAAAAACTGAAACTGGGACAGCTCTGTCCTAAGGAAGAATAGACAGAGCTGTGTAGCACCCTTTAGTGTGCTACTGATGTAATGTAGGCACATCTATTGTGTATGGCTTATGGTAACTGTGTGAGTCTGTGATTAAGGTCGGGTTACTGCATGTCAAGCTAGATGGTTTAACAGGTTGAGACTCCATTGCCTCTACCTGGTTCTGGAGGACCATGGACCCTTCTAGAAGTCATTGGGAGGGAAGAGATGGAGACCTAATCTGCATGTTTATGGAAGTCTGACCAATCCCAGGTTTAGAGGCCCTGGTAAAATCCCATAAATATGGGATACTCAGGCCGGCAGAGGACTATTGTGGAAGATGGAGTGCTGAGGAGACTGTTGATGGCCTGGGAGGGATTCCCTAGGTCTAGGGGGGCTGACCTCCAGGCTGGGCTTGGGCTGACTCGGGAAGATCCATTCAGCATCACAGCATGAACAGGATCAAGACCTGGGAGTAGTGGGAGCAAGGAGTACAGAGTGAGTACATCAGCACATCCAGGGATTCACAAGGAGAGAGACTGCCACATGTAGCAAGCTTTCAAAGGACAGCGCTGTGCTTAATCCTTTACCCTTGTCTTGGGAGATTTCCAGAGTAGCCAGGAGGACTGGTAGTGTCTGCAGTCTGTGGAGCTGGGAGCAGTTCTCCTGGGGAGAGGAGACATCCCTACATGTAATTTGCAACAAGCTAAGCTAACTTTCAGGGGGGCTGAGAATCTCTGGCCCATAAGGGGCATTTGCTACTGCTCTATAATGACTGACCACTTTCAAGGAAAAGAGAAGTCCAGGATCTGTTTCTGTAACTAGGAAGGACGTTGTCCCCGTGCATTGATTCACTTAAACTGGGCATTCCATAATCCCTATTACCCTATTAAAGTTACATCCCCTAATAAAATTACAAAAACCAAGTTCATGGACCGTTCACTGACTGTGAATGCAACTGTGAAAAATGTGTGTTGCCCAGCTGTACAAAGCTTAGAGGGATCCAGAAACACAGTGGCCCTCAAGGGGGTAAGCTACAGCTGTGTGGCAAGATAGCCAGGAGACTGAAATCTAGTTTAGTGTTTGTGGTTATGGTAAATTATCCCTTTGTGGGCAGAACACTGTGTTACTTTGATGTTTGGATGAGTAAAAGTGGACAAAAAAAGCCCTCTAAAACATTCTGCTGAGTAGACTGAGTCCTCTCCCCTTTTGAAGCTCTCTCTCTCTCTCTCTCTCTCTCTCTCTCTCTCTCTCTATATATATATATACCCATGTGCCTTTTGCTAAATCCTGCATAAACTGATTTACTGGACAAACAATCATATTTCTATGGTGCCTCAATTCTGCAAGTTCTTTTGTGTTAAAGAAGAACAACTTTTAAATTTTTCTGCTCTTCATGGGGCAAAGTACGTGTAGTTTTTTGTTGTACATAGCTAGGTGCTTCCTACATCTAGTTATTACGTCCGACCTACCCTCCTCCATTTCCCACAAGGCAAATTCAACAACAGCTAGGAAGGAGACAGATCCATCATAATAAGAGCTTGTCTTGGCTCACAGCAATTTTCTGAGAAAACTACAGCAAGAGAAATGCAAAGAGACAAGACGCTGACTCTCCCTCTAGATTCCTCTTGTTTTAGGAAAGAGCTCGGAGCTGAAACAAGCTGCCGTTATGATGTATCGCTCTCCTACCGAGCTATTGTCAATTTGCTGTATGGGGATGGGGTGGGGGGCAGATCGGATATAGGAACACTTAGCTACGTGATACAAAATACTACATGTACATTGTCCCATAGAGGACAGAACTGAAAAAAAATAAGTGAAAAATAAGTGAAAGTTCTTTTTAAGGCACCCTGCACACGAGATGCTCAAAAACTGCTGAAGAAAACGCTGGATAAAAACGCTAATATTTGGCATTTTTTTCAGTGTTTAGGAGCGTTTCTCAAAATGTTCAGGAGTGGTAGCACTTTTGTTAGGGAGTGGATGGCTGCTGGCTTCCTTAACAACCAGTAAATATCTGGTTGTTAAGGAGTGGGCCAGGAAGCCGGCCACCGTGTACTTAACAACAGATGACTTATTAGCTGTCCCTGCTGACAGCCGAAAGTAATAAAAAACAATTTCTGTAATTGTTTCTAAAAAGCAACATGGGGGTCCCCCCCCCCCAATCTATACCAGGCCCTTTTGGGTCTGGTATGGATTTTAAGGGGAACCCCATGCAAAGATTAAAAAAAAACGAAGTGGTGTTCCCTTGGTTCCCTTGGTGCCCCCACCCCTTAGTTGATTTAAGAACTGTCAGACAGATTTAAGTACTGTCATACAGATGGCTGAAGCCAGCATTTAGTAAAGACGCCTTTTTTTGCGGGTCAATGGCTGTGGCGTACGTTGTGATTGACGCTAGATTTACTTCAGGGGACATTGTTTTTTTTTTTTTTTTTTAAATAAAGGAATTCTCAAAACCGTTCTACTGTCTTTTTTTACACTACACTTTTTTTTTTGTGAATGATTAGGGGTACAATGTACCCCATACTTATTCACATGGGGGGCTGGGATCTGGGGGACCCCTTGTTAAAGGGATCTTCTAGATTCCGATAAGCCCCTTGCCCGCAGAGCGCCACAACCAGCGGCCAGGGTTGTGAGGAAGAGGCCCTTGTTCTCATCAACATGGGGAGAAGGTGCTTTGGGGGGGGGGAGCCCCCTACCTCAAAGCACCCCCCCTATGTTGAGGGCATGTAGCCTGGTGTGGTTTGGGCGCCTCCTCTTTCATGGCCTGCCAGACTGCATGCTTGAGTAAGGGTCTGGTATGGATATTGAGGGGGACCCCACACCATTTTTTTTTTATTTTTCCATGGGGTTCCCCTCAAAATCCATACCAGACCTAAGAGTCTGGTATGGATTTAAGGGGGTGGATCATGCCACTTTTTTTAACTGTTGGCATGTGGTTCTCTGTACCAGACCTGAAATCCGGACCAGACCTGAAAGGGCCTGGTATAGATTGGGGGGACCCCCAGGCTTTTTTTCCCCTCAATTTTTTATTTCCAGCAATTGTTTCGTTTACATGCAGCAGTCAGCAGGGAACGCAACTGACAGCTGAGTCATCTGTTGTTAAGGATGCAGTGGCCGGCTTGTCGCCCCGTTCCTTAACCTCTTCACGCCGGCCGCACACAAATGTGCGGCTGCCCGGTGTCTGGGCCTAGACGCCGAGTGGCCGCACATTTGTGTGCAATTAAGAAAAACATATGTGCTGAGAGCACGCACCGTGCGCGCTCCCAGCACACATATCTGGTACTCACGAAAAGGGCCCGATCTCCTCTTTCGATCGGGACCTTTCCCGATCATGTGACCGCCGTGACGGCGAATCACAGAGATCACATGACCCTAAAACCTCATCCCGACTCCCGGCTTCTGAAACCCTTAAAGGACCGGGAGGCGCCGGCGCCAAGGGGTTAACAACCAGCTATTCACTGGCTGTTAGGGATGCGGTGGCCTCTGGCTAAAAATACCAGAAAAACAAAAACACACTGAAAACTGGTGTTTAGCAGAGATTAACAGCGTTTAGGAGCTTCTAGAAGCTCTCAGTGTTTTTTTCTGCTGGCATATCACTCCTAAAAACAAAACAAAAAAACATTTTTTTTTCTGCTCCTAGGAGCTGAAGCTTCAAAAACGTTTCTAGCCTAAAATAGCATGCATGGACACATAGGATAACACTGATAGTTTCTAGAAGCAGAAAAAAAAAATGCTCATTAGTAGCTTCTAGTGTGCATGGAGCCTAAAGCTGAACTAACCAGAGGTGCTGCATGAATATGTGTTTCTGGGCCACATGCTGGTAGGAGATGCGAGCAGAGTGAATACGGAAGTTACCTCATCAATCTGCTACTGCTCTTCCAGTGTTCAGTCAGTAGACAGTGGTGGAAAGAGGACACTACTGTATTATAAAAAGTGGAACAAGGATAATTACAATTGTTCTTAAAAATGCTGCCTACCCCCTTCCTCCTACCTATGCAGCATAACCTGTTTAAAAAAAGATCTGTGTACTTACCTTTCTTTAAAGAATAAGTTCACCTTTTTGGACAAAAATAATAAATGCACATTTTTTTTTTCAGGTAAAAAATATGCATTTATTATTTTTGTCTGTAGGAGCCTGGGAAGCATTGTACCAGCGATCAGTAAATCACTGACGCCGTGCAGGTCTCCTGCAGACCTGTCAGAATATTTGCTTGCCGTACGGGATGTACGGTCAAGCAGGGGATGTGTGGTCAAGCAGATATACTGACAGGAAACTTCAATGAGCTACAACGGTGCTCCACAGTTCCGTGGTAGTTCATTGAAAACTACAAGCCCACAGCCGCTAAGGCTGCTGGTACTTGAAGGCGCTCATTCACGAACACTGTTTTCAAATCTGACAGATAATATGGGGAAACTTCTCCTCATACTATATGTCAGAGGGAGGGGAGGTGGCGGGCATGGCTGCGGCTAAGGGAATGTGTTACATGATTCACCCTAAAAACGGGTGTAACATGTAACATGTTCCAAAGCTGAACTTATCCTTTATCCTGTCTGAACCGGTCATGTGATCCAGCAGCTCTGGCTGCCCTTTGTCAAAGCAGAGCAGGGAGCAGGGGCGGACTGACAACTCATGGGGCCCCCGGGCAATAGGGGATCATGGGGCCCCTGTGTCCTTGCCCAAACTCAAAAAAAGCCTATGAAAAAGGTACCAGGGGCATCTCATGGGGCCCCCTACTGACCCCGCGCCCTCGGGCAGTGCCCGAGTTTCCAAATGGTCAGTCCGCCCCTGGCAGGGAGTACAACAAGGAAGATGCAAAGGAAGCTGGCGGATGATGTCATGGCTCCGGGAATTCACAGCTGTTGTAGGGAAGCTGCAGCTGCTGGAATGATGGAGGAAAATTTCAAGGAAAGCAGGAGCCAGCAGCACAAGGGACACAATGCATAAATATAATATCATGTCCCATGTGTTGATTTTTGTTTTTTTTATTTTGACTACTGTAGCCTGGGTCCGTGATGCTCCCATCAACAGCTACATGGTCTGGCTGTCACTGACAGTGTCACACATGCTGCAGCCTCTCAGACACAGTCACTGCTGCAGCTGTTCTCCCTCTCCTTGGCTGCCAATGAGGAGAGGAGAGAGAGAAAGGGCACTTACCCACCTCCCCATAATTCAGAGGACACTTTGTTTGGCTGCTTTGGGAGAAACTGGAATGGTGGGAACTGCCTGGAATTATGGGACATGTAGTCCCTAGAGACAGTTTTCTATCAAGCCATGAACTGGAAGGACTGCAAGCCACAACAGGACAAGGAGCTAGGTGGAGGAAAAAGGGAAAGAGTTTTGGGGCAGGGACTGTCATATGGAGAACAGTGAGAGATGATCATTAAAGGGAGCTTCTGTGTCAGAGAGCTGCCTGATGGGTGGTGTCTGACATACAGAGGGACACTGCTGTCACATCAACCCAGAGGTCACAGATGTGAGAGATCACCACTGCGGGGTCCTGTGTCACTGCTTACATCACCAGTTCTGGAGGAAATTGTCATCGCAGAGTCCTGAGTTGCAGACAGCATAATTGGTTCTTCACAGAATGGGAAGAAGCATGATCACATGAGAGGCCACTGACAACATCTTGCCACTGGTTAAGGGGGATGTTGTCACCTATTTTAGGGTACAGTTTGGGTGCCTGTGCCTGGTAATGGTGGGATCATATTAAGTCTGAGCGCTCCAACACCACCAACTTTGTGCACCAAGTGTAACAACTGAACATAGAACTGAAATAATGTTTTCATCCAGTAGATAAGGCAACTGATATGCTTTGAAAAAAAGAATCTTTTCTTGGACAGAGCTAACTGAATAGCCAACAATTTACTCTATGTACTGAGTTTTCTATGCAAAAGTTGCTGTATAACCTACATTCATAGCATAATGCAATATTTACATGGACAGTTTTATTCCCCCCATAACCACTAACTGTAATCCACACACTAGGCAATCTCTAGGTCCTCATCTGGGACATATAAAGAAGGTGCAGAGTACTACACAACCTGTAAGAGATTAAGCTAAACAGATGAAATACAGTATATTGTTCATGTTCATTGACTCTACTTTTATCGGCGTTTAATAATTTAAATGCAGCAAAATCTTGTTGTTGCCAAATGTATGATCAGATGTATTACTCTATTGCTTTTATGCTATGGGATCTTAATTAAAATACTCACATAGAGACACAGCTATAGTTATGTGACTGGGGATTTTCATGTTAAAAGATGTACTACTGTGTATGAATAATAACAATACCATTGTTAATTTACGTCTATACATTTAATTTTAACTGTATACAAAAACAAAGTAAGAACTTTTAATTGATTTATCTAATAGTTAGAGCAGAACTTCATCCCAGAAATCTTAATGTGATGAAAAGATTAGTCTAAAGCAGTACCTCATAGGCTTGATTCTTGAAATTGCAATATAAATTAAGGCTTGGCTCCAGACAAACAGCCAAACACAGATAAAATACAAACATGGCAGTTTTTTTTACATGTCCAAGGATTTGTAATTCCAGTTCTGAGATCTGCAGAGCCCAGTCTGGTAGGGCAGGTGGCCTGGCTTTGCTTTGTCCCTCCTCCAGCAGTGACTGGACAGTGAAACGAGAAGCAGCAGACTGGTGAGTTCATCTCTTTTTCACTCTTATCTCTTCTACTAGCAGTGCCTTTGTGTTTCTTGTTAGAACACTAGAGCACTGCAGAACAACTGATTGGGTCCTTGTGTTCCTTCTCCCTCACCCAGTATAAGATATGATACATAGGAACTGCAAGAGGCTAATATCAAGCTAAATTCAGCTACTTACACTGCTTGATTTAAAAGAAATACATTTAACAAATACAGAGCTGCATTACTTTTTGTCTTTTATAGTTACCTGGAGTTCAGTTGTAAGCTGAAACTAGTGAGAGAAACATATCACACACTGCATATGTTGTATAACAAGCATACAAATGCATTATAACGTAGCTACAGTAAGTGCAAATATAAAAATAGGATCATATGTTTTCATGCAAAGACCTTGTGATTGGATAATGTTCTTGTATATGTTTAAATGATGTTCAAGAGCAAGTGAATATTCTTAAGAGAATGGGCAGACTGGAACTGAGACACTTGTTCCATTGTCCACATTGTGAACTCATACAACAGGGTATCCAATAAATAATAAAGGAAGACAGGTGAAATATCAGGCTGATACATGTCAGTATTTTCCTTGTCGGAATAGGAGTACAGCTGTATAAAATGACTGGCTTGTAGGTAGGTGCAGTCGCCTTTCTCCACTGCAGGTGGTGCTCAACCACAGCGGCATTGCAGGAGGAGAGGAAGTTAGGAAAAACATGTTCCTCTATGGTTTACTGGGTCACAGAGGAAGCAATCCGGTTGGATGCTGCTGTCCCATATGATTCTGGTGGCCATCTTGGATCTGGCAGTGTTTATTTAAGACCCTGGGCATACATTTTGTGATTGGACAGTGTAGGGTCAGGTCTCCCTTTTGGTAGGCAAAGTGAATAGTCGTAGTGAAAGATTCCAGACGAGTAGGGACAGTTTAGGGACATGCTATCCTTCCATTTTGCTGTTGAAACTTGTGAGTGTCCCCAGTCAGATGTCTTACAACTGGGCTGTTGTAACACTGAATTGTGCCTTCAATAAAATCTTGTTTATTGCATCTGGACTCAACCACAGGCTGTTTGCGGTTCTCCTCCCTCCCTAAGTCTGAGTGCTGCTGTACAGGGGATGATGAGAGGCTCATAGATCAAATTCAGGTATGTGATACATATGTGACATGGGTGTATAGAATGTATGTGTGAAGGATGATTGACACTCAATTGCCATAAGTTTTAGTAGGATATATCAGTGGAGAAGTAACTAGAGTTTAGAATAATAAGACAAGGACATTGTTAAAATATATCAAGGCTAGATCTATGATTCATAGTTACCAGATGTGCAGTCGCAATCAGTCAAGGACTCATAGTTACAAGATGTATAGTCGAACAAGTCAAGGTTAATAGTCATAATTAGAGATGAGCGAATTATTCAAAAATTCGATTCGGCTGATTCGCCGAATTTGAGGAAGAAATTCGATTCGATGCGAATTTATTCGCTACGAATTTAACTTATAAAAAGGGTTTCTAGGCTGAAGGAGAGGATGAGAAGAAGGAGAAGGATGAGAAGAAGGAGAAGGATGAGAAAAAGGAGAAGGATGAGAAGAAGGAGAAGGATGAGAAGAAGGAGAAGGATGAGAAGAAGGAGAAGATGAGAATGAAAGAAGGAGAAGGAGAAGGAGAAGGATGAGAAGAAGGAGAAGGATGAGAAGAAGAAGGAGAAGGAGAAGGATGAGAAGAAGGAGAAGGATGAAAGATGAGAAGAAGGAGAAGGATGAGAAGAAGGAGAAGGATGAGAAGAAGGAGAAGGATGAGAAGAAGGATGAGAAGAAGGAGAAGGATGAGAAGAAGAAGGATGAGAAGAAGAAGAAGGATGAGAAGAAGGAGAAGGATGAGAAGAAGAAGAAGAAGATGAGAAGAAAGAAGGATGAGAAGAAGGATGAGAAAGAAGAAGAGAAGATGAGAAGAAGAAGAAGGATGAGAAGAAGGAGAAGGATGAGAAGAAGAAGAAGGATGAGAAGAAGAAGAAGGATGAGAAGAAGAAGAAGGATGAGAAGAAGGAGAAGGATGAGAAGAAGAAGAAGGATGAGAAGAAGAAGAAGAAGAAGGATGAGAAGAAGGAGAAGGATGAGAAGAAGAAAAGGATGAGAAGAAGGAGAATTCCAAGCCGGCAAAAAGTGTATCTGCAGAGCTCCGCTATTTCTTAGCGGAGCTCTGCAGATACACTTAGCGGAGCTCTGCAGATACACTTTTTGCCGGCTTGGAATTCTTCTTATTTTCATCCTACTTCTTCTTCTTCTTCTTCTTCTTCTTCATCCTCATCCTCTTCTCTTCTTCTGAGGATGAGGATGAAGAAGAAGAAGTAGGAGATGAAAATAAGAAGAATTCCAAGCCGGAAAAAAGTGTATCTGCAGAGCTCCGCTAAGTGTATCTGCAGAGCTCCGCTATTTCTGACAGTTCTCTGACATTCACTCCATACAGCGGTTGAAACATTGTATCTATTTGTTTCCATTTATGGAAACAAATAGATACAATGTTTCAACCGCTGTAAATGTGAATGTCAGAGAACTGTCAGAAATAGAGGAGCTCTACAGATACACTTTTTGCCGGCTTGGAATTCTTCTTATTTTCATCCTACTTCTTCTTCTTCTTCTTCATCCTCATCCTCAGAAGAAGAAGAAGAATGAAAAGAAGAAAGAGAAGAATGAAAAGAAGAATGAAAAGAAGAAAGAAGAATGAAAAGAAGAAGAAGAAGAATGAAAAGAAGAATGAGAAGAATGAAAAGATTCTTCTTCTTCTTCTCTTTTAATTCTTCTTTTTCAATTCTTCTTCTTCTTTTCATTCTTCTTCTTCTTCTTTTCATTCTTCTTTTCATTCTTCTCATTCTTCTTTTTCATTCTTCTTCATTCTTCTTTCATTCTACTTCTCTTCTCATTCTTCTTTTTCATTCTTCTTCTTCTTTTCATTCTTCTCATTCTTCTTTTCATTCTTCTTTTCATTCTTCTTCTCATTCTTCTTTTCATTCTTCTTCTTTTCATTCTTCTTTTCATTCTTCTTCTTCTTCATTTTCATTCTTCTTTTCATTCTTCTCATTCTTCTTTTCATTCTTCTCATTCTTCTTCTCATTCTTCTTTTCATTCTTCTTCTCATTCTTCTTTTCA